CTGCCCGCGCCGCCGCGCTCAGCGCTCGCAAACTCGGGCTCTTGCTTTAACGCTGGCAAGGTGGGTGACGCCGGGGCGAGCAGCGCCTGCTCGCGTGGCGTGGTTACCCGAGGCGCTCTCGAACTCTTGGCTGGCGTTCGGAAAACGTGTTGCCGGAGCTGTGGGGTGGCGGGTGGCGATGTGGGTGCCGCAGGGCGGCCTTTATGTGTTTCTTGCCTCTCTGCTCCTTTCCCTTGTCTCCAGCAATTGCAGCTGCCAGGAACGGAGCGGCTCTAACTGAGGCATCTTGCTGGCGGCTGTTTTGTGACTGTTGTAGCATCGAAATGCTTTTCGGAGTTGTCTTTGAGGTGGTGGTTGGTTATGCCACTGCAGAAGTTGACGGGTAACCAAGGGAAAAAATTCTGCCCGGCCTAGATAACCAATTAAAAAAAATCAAAAGGCTTTTTTGGGTACTGAAGAACTGAAACAGCATGATTTGCCTAGGATTTGTACTTCCTTGTTGGTGAGGAAGCGCAGCTGGAACTTACTAAGACAGCAGTGGCCTGATTTTGGTGTTAATGTGTATCGAGCACCTGGGGACTAGCGGGAAGAAGCAGGGTGAGAAATTTATTCTTTGTGAATTGTTTTGCTCTGTCTCCAGGAGGATTTCTAAATCCCGCTAGAAGCAGTCCAGGGAGAAGCTGGAACAGCTCTGTTAAGTCATCGTTTGCTCGGGACGAGGAAATCCTGGTCCACTTCCCTGAAAGAAAACCCCAGTCATCAGGGCTGAAAGTCTCCCGCTGTTTTGGACAGCGTGTCTTCCTAACTTAAATCTCTTCCGACTTCTCTGTGGAGTGCCTTCCCCTTCCAGGGGATGCGCCCTGCTTCCTGATGCCCTGGGAACAGGCTGCCTCTGCTTGGTGAGCTCATCTTGTTTGAATCCGGGGCTGGCAAATTCATAAGTAACCTCGGCCATCACCCGGTCTGCACCAGAGAGCTTAGCAGCACGTCCCTTGTTCGGCTGTAGTTTGCCCTAGAATTTCTGCGTGGTTTTTCTTACCTCGGTCATGGGCTCGCAGCCCCGAGGTCCTGTGCAGGCCTTGGGGCAACGGTTGTGTGAGTCTGGTAGTTCTTGTTTTGATTTCGACTTTGAATTTTTCTGACTTCATTTATCAGCAAATGCAGCTGACTGCTTTGAAGCTAGGTGGCTGGTTCCTGTGCTGTTACCTAAAACACCAGATAGATTTGTCTAATTAATGAGGGCTACGTTGACCAGAGATGGCAGTAGGTGTACTCTTCCGTTCTGAGTCACTGATCTTCATAAAACTAGACGGAACTTAATATCCCAGAAGGACTTTAAGACGTTTTCCTGGTTTTTTTCTTGTTTTTCTTACGACTGACATGTGAACAAGAATATAATGCCTAAAGCTCTTCTGCCGTTTAATGTGGGCAACTCTGTAAATGCCCGTACTCGTGCACAAAGCATTTTAAGTTCAAGGTAGTGATCTTGGGTAACCTTGTTCTGGCCTGGTGATAGTAACACCTTGTCTCTATACAAACTACTGACGGTTCTATTTTTTGTTCTTTTTTTAATGTAAAAGTAACAGAAATGTGGAAGAAATGACTAAAACGGATTTGTTAAATACTAGTCTGCAGAACAAATATCCGCAGTGGATGCTTACACAAAGCCAAGAAGGAGTTTTGGGTGATAAAAAGGTATGTCGTCACATGGGGGAAACTTAGTTGCAGGCTGCGTAATAAAACGACATCGGACCACATGCTTTTAGTTAGACCTGTGCCTCTGAGATTTGTGAATGTTTACTGCTCTTTTGTCCTATGATCTGTAATTAAATTCAGGTGCTCTTGTGTTACTACTGGTTGAATTAGCTTGTTAAAGTCTCTTTTTTTTTAAATGAAAATATCGCGTATTGACCAAAGGTTGTTGCTGTTATCTCTGTAGAAATTTCTTCCTGACAATCTCGAATTTCAGTGGTAAAACCACCCAAGTATAAGGCAGCTTTTGATGCGTTGCTCACCCAGTATTGCGGGCTGTACACCAGCAAGGACTAGGGATTTTTCATCTGTGTAGTTTGAGAGCTCAAAACGCAATGACCTCGAGTTGTAGCCTGGCAGGGGAGTCTGTTCTGGTAAGGCCAGTAGCATCCTGGCTTGTATCAGAAATAGTGTGGCCAGCAGGAGCAGGGAAGTGATCGTGCCCCTGTACTCGGCCCTGGTGAGGCCGCACCTCGAATACCGTGTTCAGTTTTGGGCCCCTCACTACAAGAAGGACATCGAGGTGCTCGAGCGTGTCCAGAGGAGGGCAACGAAGCTGGTGAAGGGTCTGGAGAACAAGTCTGATGAGGAGCGGCTGAGGGAACTGGGATTGTTTAGCCTGGAGAAAAGGAGGCTGAGGGGAGACCTCATCACTCTCTACAACTACCTGAAAGGAGGTTGTAGCGAGGTGGGGTTCTTCCCCAAAAGGGTTGTCAAGCATTGAAACAGGCTGCCCAGGGAAGTGGTGGAGTCCCCATCCCTGGAGGTATTTAAAAGAGGTGTAGATGTGGTGCTTAGGGACATGGTTTAGTGGTGGGCTTGGCAGCGCTAGGTTAATGGTTGAACTCCATGATCTTAAAAGTCTCTTCCAACCTAAACGATTCCATGACTAAGGTCCTCTGGCTTTCTGCATTTGCACATGTTCAGTATTTCAGAAGGTTTTGCAGCTCAGAGGTATCAGAAGAGTTAAGTGATCATCAAGATTATGTCAATTTCTGGTGTCCCAAG